ACGCCCCAAAAATGAAATATGAGCGCTCCCTGTGCCATTGGTGGCCAGACAGAGCCCCTCGAGCCCATGGAGAGCCCCCTGAACCCATGCAGAGCCCCCTGAACCCATGCAGAGCCCCCCGAGCCCATGGAGAGCCCCCTGAACCCATGGAGAGCCCCCTGAACCCGTGGAGAGCCCCCTGAACCCATGGAGAGCCCCCTGAACCCATGGAGAGCCCCCTGAGCCCATGGAGAGCCCATGGAGAGCCCTGCCATCGCTGCAGGAGGGTGCTGGGGTGAGTGGGTGCTTCTTGGGCAGGACGCTCCATTCCAGCTCTGAGCTGAGGTTCAGACTTCCCAGTCGCTCCCAGGGACACCCCAGTTGCTCCCAGGGATACCCCAGTTCACAGTGGGGTTTTCTAGGCAGGACTTGGGGTGTCCCCCCTCACCCTTTGGTGCGTGGCCCCATCCTGCAACCCCCAGCACCTTTCTCCCAGGGCTGGCTGCAGATCAGGCTCCTCCTGCCCCGGGCAAAGCGAGAAGGGCAGAGTGGGACCGTGGCTGTTTGTCAGGTGGGGAAACTGAGGCACAGAGCAGGTACCAAAGACCACGTCCCTTGTGCATGTAATGGGGAGCAGTGCCAGGCAATTTGGGCTGGGGGGTACAGGTGGCTGCTGCCCATTGACTCTGTGCCCTGTTTTGGCTGTTTGCCTTGGAGATAAGGGCACTGGGCACCATGGGAGAGTGACACAAAAGCCACTGTGGGGTGACACCAAGTGCACAGGGGCCAGCAGAGGGGCTGGGGTGATGCTGGGGTGCAGATTTCAAGGAGAACCCTTTCTCCATCCCCTCCTCAGCCCCCGCAAGCTGAGCTGATGCCCTCGGTGGTCTCTCCTCTCCCCCAGGTGTCAGCTCTGTCACCCAAGGTAACAGCCAGCCCAGTGGCATGGCCCGGCCATTCAGCCGGCCCGGCGTGAGGGCAGCGGTCACCGCCGGGGTGTTTGTTGTCACCCTCTGGAACCTGAGGTGCTTCCTCAACCCCTCCGAGGTCTCCGGAGAAGCCCCCAAGCCCGCTGAGCCACTGGTGGTCCTGGTGTGGGAATGGCCCTCCAAGCAGGTCCCCAACATCAGTGGGGACGTTTGCCATGAGCTGTACGGCATCGCGGGGTGCCGGCTCACCACGGAGCGGCGGCTCCTCGCCCAGGCCGACGTGGTGGTGTTCCCACACAGCAGGCTGCAGCCGGGCAGGGACAGGCTGCCCAAGGAGCGGCCACCGGGGCAGAACTGGGTGTGGGTGTCCCTGGAGTCCCCCTCCAACACTAAAGCTCTAGCGGGCTGGAACAGGACCTTCAACTGGGTGATGACCTACAGACAGGACTCAGACATCTTCATCCCCTACGGCAAGCTTGTGCCCAACCGGTCGGCCAGCGTGAACATCCCCACCAAGACCAACTTGGTGTCCTGGGTTATCAGCAACTACCACAGGACTCAGAGAAGAGCCGAAGTCTACAAAAACCTCTCCAAGCACCTCCACGTGAACATCTATGGGAAAGCAAACAAAAAGCCGCTTTGCAAGGACTGCCTCTTGCCAACGACGTCCAGGTCCAAGTTCTACCTGGCTTTTGAGAACTCCATCCACCAGGACTACATCACCGAGAAGCTCTGGAGGAACTCGTTGCTGGCCGGCACCGTGCCCGTGGTGCTGGGGCCTCCGCGGGCCAACTACGAGCGGTTTGTCCCTGCGGATTCCTTCATTCACGTCGATGACTTTGGCTCCCTGGCAGAGCTGGCCGCCTTCCTGAAGACCATGAACTCCAGCCGGTACCGGCAGTTCTTCTCCTGGCAGAAGAGGTACAGCGTGAAGCTCTACGACGACTGGAGGGAGCGCATCTGCACCATCTGCACCGCCTACCCCGGCCTGCCCCGCGGCCGCGTCTATCCCGACCTGGAGAGCTGGTTCAACACCTAGCACGGGGTGGTGTGTGATGGGACCACCGAGGACACCTCTGGGGCACCCTCCTATGGACCAGGACGTGGGGCAGGGAGTGATGGGGGAGCCCCGACCTCTCCTTCCAGCCTGGCTGTTGCCACACTGAGACCTTGAGCAACTCCTTTCTTGCAAAACGGGATTAACCCCCCACCCCAGACCTGACACTGACCTACCTCGCCAGGGTGCTGGCAGGACGAGAGGGTGCTTTGAGAATAAATAACACAGTGCTGCAGAGGCTCTGGCTGTGACACGGGAGTGGGCAGTGTAAGGGTGCTGGCGGGGGGTTCAGGGCTCCCCAATCTTCCTCTGCCATCGCTCTATGTCCCCTCAGCAGCTTCTGCCAGGCAGCGAAACCCTGGTGCCAGAGGCCCCATGGTGACAGTTCCAACTGGGGCAGAAGCATGGGGCAGCCCGGGGGGGTGCAGCACCCCATGGCAGGGATGGAGAGCACGGCCTCTGCTCCACCACTTCCCGGCAGCACCCATTTCCCCCACCCAACCGCATTCTCAGGCTGTGGGTGTCGTCGTACCGGCGAGGACCAGCAGGACACCGAATGCTATCGAGAGCAATCAGTGCCAGCCCAAGGCAGGGGGATGCTGTGGTTTCTCACTGCATCAGGAAGGAGGTGCTGGAGTCCGGAGCCTCGCAGTGAACCCAGAGCAAAGCTGGAGCCATGAGCACCCTGCACCCCATGCCACGCACTCCCTGCACCATGGGCACCCTGCACCGAGGGCACCCTGCGCCCCATGCACAGGCAATGCCCAGACACCCCACAGACCAGCACCCATCTGGGAGCAGTAGCAGATATCAATGCTGAGTGACAGACCATGGGGTTGGGACTTGACTGCTCCATCCACGCCTTATCTCCAACCATCAACCCCCGATACAAACCACTCATTTTGTCACAGCTTACCCCCGTTTCCCTCACTGAAGCCCTAAAAAGTCCCCAAACTCCACCCTTGCCACCCAATGCCTGCCAGACCCTGCTCCTCATGCCCGGGGTGCAGTGCAGGGGGTTCAGGCTGCTGTGGCACCACCTCAGCAGAGGGGACAGCCCTTTGCTGTGTCCCCAGCTCAGCCCAGCCCTCGCTGGGTTGCAGTTTACGGGCACACCACGCTCTTGTGATTTCTGTGGTTTCCCATTTCCATCCTGTTTTTTCTTCTGGGTCAACTGAAAGTGGAGCAGGAGGGGCCCTGGGTGCCCATGGGCAGGGCACTGGGGTTTGGGGGTCCTGCAGGGGATGGAGCTCCATCCGGACCAGCCTTTTGCTGAGTGGGGACGTGAAGAAAAGCAAACCCGAGGAGGTCACCTCCTTTCCCAGGCTTGACCCCCTCTTTAGCCTCTGGCACTCCCAAGGTGCTGGGCAGCAGCAGAGGGGGTTCAGTTTCCAGTGGGAGCAGTGCCCTCAAACCTGCAGGCACACAGGGCCACGGCACCAGTTTGGGGCACACCCCAGCTCTTTGGGGGGTCCGAGATGGCTTTGGGGGCAGCTCCTGCAGTGACCTCCTGCCCAAGAAGGGAGCAGGGCTGTGGGCTGGCCCCAGGGTGAGCCATCAGTCACCGGCAGCCAAAAAGGGGCTCTCATGGTTCCCCACAGGCTCTGCAGTTGGGGGGCAGGAAAACCTCAAGGGTGGGAGGCAAAGCAGAGGCCGTGGCTGTGACAGCAAGGGCTCAGAGCCCAGTTGCAGCTTCTGGCAGGGCTGCCCCCCATCGATGTCCTGGTGCCCTTCCAGACCTGCCTGGCTGCACCCCCAGCCAGGGTCAGCACACAGGGCACCCCCCACCACTGGTACCAGGCCCATGGCAGGGACAGTTTGGGTGTCCTGTACCCTACCCAGCCCTAAAAACATCTTAAAGCGGGTGGATGGGACCCCCCAGCTCCTCACCTGCTTTGGCACAGCCTCCACAAGCTGCGTCCCTCCAGGGCCAGGCTGCAGGCAGCCAAAAGCCAGGGGGTGTTGATCCACCTTATCTGGGTGCCCCGGTCCGGCCCCACCGTGCCCCCCCCCCACAGCCAAACCTGTGCCACTGGGCAAGGGTGCAAGGGATGCAAGGAAAGGGGTTAACTCACCCTCGTGCCCCAAAGAACTGAGATTTATTTCATTGCCAGAGGAATGTGATTAAGAAAAAAAAAAAGATATAAAAAAAAATCATCATCAACTACAGCAGGCTCAAAGGCACGGGATGCTGGCAGCATGGACGGGACGGTGTCACCCCCCTGGGTAAATATGGTCCCTGGGCAGCCGGGCCGGGGCAGAGGGACAACAACTGGAGAGCAAG